GGAACGGCCCGACGTGGGTCGTTACCTCCGGGAGCTGAGCGGCTCCGGGTTGGAGCGGCTGCGGCGCGAGCCCGAGCGCCTGGCGGAGGAGCGGGCCCAGCTGCTGCAGCAAACGCGCGACTTGGCCTTCGCCAACTACAAGACCTTCATTCGCGGCGCCGAGTGCACCGAGCGCATCCACCGCCTGTTTGGCGACGTGGAGGCGTCGCTCGGTCGCCTGCTGGACCGCCTGCCCGGCTTCCAGCAGAGCTGCAGGTGCGGTGGGCCCGGTGCGAAAGGGGCTTTTAAACAACGGTAGTAAGTGACATTTCCCGTGGTAGAGGTGGCGAACACTTAACGTGGCGCTTACCAGGTGCCAGGCTCTCCTCTGAGCACTTTATTAATCCGTTTAAACCTCACTACACTCTTGGAGGTGGGTACTGGTTTTCCCATTTTACATAAGAGGAAGTGGAGACAGGGAGAGGTTAGCGACTGTCCAGGGACACAGCCAGTAAGGTTCGAAGTCAGCACTGGAACCCAGCAGCACGTCCCTCCCTCAGAGGGCTGTGTGAACACTAAATAGAGAATCCGTGCAAAGCACTAAGAATTGGGCCTGACATGCTTAGCTATCAACAACTGGCAGCTTAATATAGATGCACATTTACGTAATATACATAAACACACACATAGACACAACACAACAGCTTAGACCAGGAGTCATCTGCTCCAAAACTTTCCTTGATAGGAAGCTGACAAGGAAATCCTTCCATTTGGGGGTAGCAGAAATTGTTTTTAAAAATCCCTCCTTTTTGAGTCATGTTCTGCTTCCCTAGATCCTCAACACGTTATCCCTAATTCTGCCCTCTAGCCTTTCACGATAAAAGTTTTAAGTTTTCTTTTGAGTCTTTGGATATTTGACAATAGTTTTTAATAAATATAGCTATTATTAAAGGAACATTTACTCTGAGTCAGGTTCTGTGCTACTTTATACATATCATCTCATTTAATCCTCACAGCCTATGAGTTGGGTCCTATTATTATTTTACCAATGAGGAAACAGTTGTGAAAGCCTAAGTACCCTGCCACAGCTAGTTAAGTGGCAGATCTGGGTTCAGATCTTTTTAATCATTTATTTGTTGTGTGATCTTGCACAAATTGCTTAACCTCTCTAAGATTAAAGTTTCCTCGACCGTACTTACTTCATAACTTGGTGTGAAGATTAAGTCAGATAAACCATCCATCCCAGTGCCCAGTTCATAGTAAATGCTGGGTAATTTCAGTTTAAGATTTGGGTGCAGAGCAGTGAGCAATCAACATTCTCCTGATTCTACTAGGAACTTTGTGAAAGAGGCTGAGGAGATCAGCTCCAACCGTCGGATGAACACACTGACTCTAAACCGGCACACAGAAATCCTGGAAATCCTAGAGATTCCTCAGCTCATGGACACCTGTGTCCGGAACAGCTATTATGAAGAGGCCCTGGAGCTTGCAGCCTACGTACGCCGACTGGAAAGGAAATACTCCTCCATCCCTGTCATCCAGGTAGCCAATCTCCCCAGAGATGACTCAAACTGATATTCTTGCAATCAGTAATTTTGTGATCATCACTGAACCTTTAGGCAGAAACCTTAGGAAAATTCTTTGCATGTTTCACATCAGTTTCTGCTGGCCAGACAGGCTTGAACATAAAACATACATTCATTCATTCATTCAACTGAGAAATGTGAATCTTGTGTACCAGGCACTGATCTAGGTGTTGGGTATGCAATGTGAACAAAGCAAACCAAGGCCCTGGCTCTCATGAATGAAAGCTGATAGTTGGCAAATAAACATAAACAATGTGATCCTTTCAGATAGTGATTAAGTGTCTGGATAAAACAAACCAGGGAACAGGATAGAAGGAGACCAGGGTGAGTTACTTTAGGGAGGGTGGTCAGGAAAGGCTCTTTTGGAGAGAGAACATTTGAGACCCAGATGATGATAAGGACCCAGCCACACGCAGATGTGAGGAGAGAGAACAAACCAGAAAGTGGAGAGAATAAGTACAGCAGGCTGAGGAGGGAAGTTGGAGTGTTAAGAAATACAAAGACAGCCAGTGGGACTGGACTGCAGTGAGCAAGGGGAGGAAGCCAGTGAGGTAGGAGAAGCAGACAGGGCCTATAGGCCACAGTTGCCCTGTACGTATCAGCTTTAGGAAATGTACTTCGTATGTCAGGAAAGCAGTGGGAATACTGATCTATAATATTTAGGGTTAGTGTAATGGCTTCCAGGCTGTGTCTTTACAAGCATGGTGTGACTCACTCTCTGCATTGTCAGGGTATCGTGAATGAAGTGCGCCAGTCGATGCAGCTGATGCTGAGCCAGCTGATCCAGCAACTGAGGACCAATATCCAGCTCCCTGCCTGCCTCCGTGTCATTGGCTTCCTGAGGCGCATGGACATCTTCACTGAAGCTGAGTTGAGGGTGAAGTTTCTTCAGGCCCGAGATGCATGGCTCCGTTCCATCCTGACTGCCATCCCCAATGATGATCCCTATTTCCATATCACAAAAACCATCGAGGCCTGCCGTGTCCACCTTTTTGATATCATCACTCAGTACCGTGCCATCTTCTCAGACGAGGACCCATTGCTGTCCCCTCCCATGGGTGAGCACACGGTGAATGAGAGTGCCATCTTCCATGGCTGGGTACTGCAGAAAGTCTCTCAGTTTCTGCAGGTGCTGGAAACTGACCTTCACCGGGGGATAGGTGGCCGTCTGGACTCTCTGCTGGGCCAGTGCATGTACTTTGGGCTGTCCTTCAGCCGGGTGGGGGCTGATTTCCGGGGCCAGTTGGCTCCTGTTTTCCAGCGGGTAGCTATCAGTACGTTCCAGAAAGCAATTCAGGAAGCGGTGGAGAAGTTCCAAGATGAAATGAACTCCTACACCCTCATCTTGGCTCCAGCCATCCTGGGCAGCAGTAACCTGCCTGCTGCTGTGCCAGTCACTCAGCCAGGGACCCTGCAGCCACCCATGGTGCTCTTAGACTTCCCACCCCTTGCCTGCTTCCTCAACAATATTCTGGTCGCCTTCAATGATCTTCGCCTTTGCTGCCCCATAGCTCTGGCACAGGATGTGACTAGGGCCCTGGAGGACGCCCTTGCTAAGGTGAGCCCATACTGTTGGCTCTCTATTGGAGTCTTCTTTGGTTACAGGAGGCCAGGCTTTGGTAATAAATGAGTCCATATGACAGTGGTAACTGCTGACTTAGAGAGCTTTAAGGTGGTTTTGGAGGTTTTTAATGGATGAGCAGCTCTTAACCAGTTAGTCCCCCTTCATGGAACCTAAAACAATCCATGAAGTGGCTCACCTATACTAATGACTCTGTAATGTATTAGTTTTCTATTGCTGCATAACAAACTCCCACAGACATTTATCATCTCCCAGTTTCTGTGGATCAGGAGTCCAGGCACAGCATAACTGGGTCCTCTGCTCAGGATCTCACAAGGTTGCAATCAAGGTGTTGGTCAGGCTGTGGTCTCATCTGGAGCTTGGGTCCCCTTTCAAGCTCACTCTCACTGGCAGATTTCTGTTCCTCCCCTCAGTTCCTAGAGGCCACCCCACTCCATAGACAGTTCATACTGTGGCTTTTTGATGCATCAGGGCCAATGGAGGAGTCTTTCCTGAACGAATCTCTTTTAGAGACATCCTCAGCCCTCTTTTAAAAGGCTCTCTGATTAAGTCAGGCCCACTCAGGATAATCTCCCTTTTGATTAATTCAAAGTCACTTGATTAGGGACTTTAATTACAACTGCAAAATCCTTCATCTTTGTCATATTCTTTTTTTTTTCTTTTTTACTGTTTATTGAATTTATTGAGATGAGATAGGTTAACAAAATTACATAGGTTTTAGGGACACAATTCCACAACACATCAATAAAATTCAAGTAATAGTAACCAGCTAACATTTATATAGAATTTACTCCATGCACTATCAGCAGTGCATGAAATTAAGCACAAATGTGCAGCCCTCAAGTTTTCATGAAGACTTGATTCAAAACCCTATGAGCTAGATCCTGTTGTTGACTCTACTTTATAGATGAGGAAACTGAGACAGAGAGGGCATGGAGGGCTTAAGCAATCAGATGGAAGTCACAGAACCCGTAAGTGGCATAGCTAGGACTTGAACCAGGACATCTAGCACCAGAGTCTGTTATTAACCCTGTTAGCATGACACCTGTCTGTAATGTCAGCTAGGCCCCTCTGTTCTTTGTATTCGGGACTTCTTTTCCAGCTCTGTTTCCTCCTTTCTTTACAATTTTCTACTGATCTAGCTTCCTGGAACCTCCAGGCCTTACTCACTAATAACCTTTTATAGTTTTTGCTTCATTTTCCTGGATCCAACATAGTTCTGGACAGTCTCCCATGGGAGTCAAGAACCATGTATACTCTTCCACTGGAAAAAGCACCAATAATGAAACAAGTTGGGTTAGAAATACATCAGTGAAGTGACAGAATTGTGGAGAGTGACCACAATTCTGAATTTAAACAAGACAGTAATATAATGTACTGTTTGGAATGACTTTCTTCATGAAAACTTGAGGGCTGCACATTTGTGCTTAATTTCATGCACTGCTGATAGTGACATACTACTATCATAGTATGATGGACTACTGCAGTGACTGATGGTACCTTTGTTTCTTAGGTAACCAAAGTAATCCTGGCCTTCCATCGTGCTGAAGAGGCTGCCTTCACCAATGGGGAGCGAGAGCTCTTTGTCCAGTTCTGCACTGTATTCCTAGAGGACCTCGTTCCTTATTTAAATCGCTGTCTCCAAGTCCTTTTTCCACCAGCTCAGATAGCACAGACTTTAGGTAAGAGAAAGGAGAAAAGATTTTTCAAACTACTTTTTGATATTATTCATATACTAATTAATTCACCCATTTGTAAAATTCAGCGTGTTTTAGTAAATGTACAGAGGTATATAATCATTAACACCACTCCATTTTAAACATTTCCATCACCTCAGAAAGATCCCTTATGCCCAGTGTTATCATTCCCCAATCCCACTCTTAGCCCCTGGCAACCACTAATCTACTTTCCGATGCAAAATATTTGCCTTTTCTGGACATTTCATATAAATGGAATCATACATATGTGTATATCTGGCTAAGTGGAAGAAGCTAATCACAAGAACCACATATTGTATGATTTTCCAATTTGCCTTCACTTCCCTGTATCCACACACTCTGAGACAGAACTTCCCAAGGGCAATGGGCCAGTAATCACACCAGCAAACGGCTGGCCACTTTTTCTCCAGCTTTTCTCTTGGGCCTGTCACAAGAAAGCCAGTGCCTACTGAGGTTCTCTTGACTTTTACTTTATCCGCCCTGAACTGTGCTGTTCTGGATTACCTTCAGAGTCTCGCTTTACAGTATAGGTTTGTGTCCCGTATCACAAAGATGACTTATATATTGAAATATGGTAATTGTGACTGTTACTTCCTGTGACACATCAGTATTTACACTTTTTAAATGTTTTTTTTCCATTTCACTTTGTCTACATCTGGGTCAGGCATTCCACCCACTCAGCTTTCCAAGTATGGAAACCTTGGGCATGTGAACACTGGCATCGTCCAAGAACCTCTCGCCTTTATCCTGCCGAAGAAAGAGATGGTCTTCTGTCTAGATGAAAAGGAGCCAGTGCCAGAGCCCACAGCTCCAGTACCAGAACTCCTGGCCGAGGAGTCAAACCTCGAACCCACCACTCCGGCTTTCCCTGAGGAGGGGCAAGAGCAGGTTGAATCAACGGAACCACTGAAGGACGATGTACCCAGTGGGAGCACTTAACAGGGGTTCCCCGCTCCCAGAAGTAGGCGCAGCACCCAGGGTCTGGGAGGCCTGGGAGCTTACTGCAGCGCCCAGTGGGACAGCCCAGGGGAGAGGCTGCCAAGGCACGCATGAGAGGAAATGAAAGGGGAAAACCTCCTAGTCACTCCTCTTACACTATAAGAAATGAAATAAAATAATAAAGCTAATTATGGTTACCTAGAAGCGGACAGCATTCTGTAGGCGGGAAGGCGCGTGAGAACTACACTTCCCGGCGTCCCTGGCGGCGGAAACGCTTGGCTACTAGGGCCAAGAGAGGAACCCATACGGCTGGGCGGCTCTACTGGAGCGCACCATGGGCCGATTGGCGGCCAGGCCCCTGCTGGGGTCGCTGCTGGCGCGGACGCATCGCCTCGTGGCGCCGGCTCTACCGTGGGGCGAGGGGTTGGCGGGCGGCGGCGCCCGGGCCTGCAGCTCCACGCTCCCCCAGGACGGCCTGGAGGGACCGGC